GAAGTCACAGATCAACAGTGGGACATGAGAGATGTTCTTCCTGACTGTTGATATGCAGACCCACGGGGAACCTCAGAGTCAGCAGAAAGGTTATTCCAGGCAGAAGACAGTGAGGTTCAACAGATGCAGAAGGCATCCTTCTTGGAGCATCCATTATCTGGCTGAAAGCAGAAAGTTCAGAGAAAGGAGGACTGCTATAAATTCCCTCTCTGGGGGCAGCTTCTACCCACAGGAGACAGACTACGAGTCAACTCCCATAAATCCCCTCTCTGGGGGAGTTCCATGGCTGTGAAGAAGGCGAAAGACCCCTCACACTTGCACAAACAGGAATCATCACAAACTTCCTTCTCTCTCATTTGACCTCCTAAAAATGGGCTTATCTTTCCCAAAGCAATCTATTTGTTCTTCCCATAGAAGCCTTTTTCCGTACTCAGTTGGGTATATAATCCCATAATCCCCAAATTCTAATCACCTCTTTGAACGATTCATCACTGAGCACCCATGAATGTATGCACCTTGCACGTGCAAATAAACTCTTTTCTCTTGCTAGCTAACCTGTCTTTTGTCTGTTTAATTTGTAGCCGCCAGTCTCAGAAGCTAAGAGAGTGGAATAAACAACTTTTCCTCCCCAGGTATCAATAAGGAGGTGTGCACGGCCTTCCAATTTCTTCCTACTCACCAAAGGAGGGATTTACTTCCACGTCCAAGTGCATATGACAGGGGTGGAAAAAGAGGAAGACGGGACAAAAACAATGCTGGAAAAAGCGGTCTCCTCTCCTTTGGTAGTTAGGAGTTGAGAAAACTCAACATGGATTTTGAGTCAAAAAGATAGACAGCGAAAAACACAACACTGGCCCCACGATCCGTTCTTAACAGCCCGATCCAAGTGGGGTAAGGTCAATATGGCCTGTTCTATCATCCGTCTTCAAAACGACCCTCATCAGAGCCTTTTAGCAAAGCCAGCTCAGGTAGTGAGAGGGGCGTGGGCGAGAGGACAGGGTCCCAGCTCTTCAAGCTGAACTCAGAGCTTCGAATTCTGAAGGAAGGATTAAAAGACACAACAAAAAGGAACTCTGATAATCCTGAAGAAATAGGAAGGTGGCGTGTGCCCTGAGAAGAATCTCTCTTCTCATTAGCACTAGCAGGGCTTGGGATTTCCTTCAGAACCGAGCTCTCTCTTTGTGGGTCTCATCTTTGTCATCACACAGCAGCGTCGGTAGGATGGCTCACTGGTGTTTCTTCTCTTCCTTCTTGCTTCCTGCATCTCAAGTCATGGGAGCTCTGTGCAATCAATGGTGTGTGTGTGTTTATTCTAGAAGTCCCTCAGAGCATCCTTAACGGGTCTGTGTTGAACCAGAAGCACCACGCCATGATCTGATGCTTGACATCAGAAACACCGTGCTACAGTCCGATGAGTTTGAGCGCCCACATGGAAACGCAGCCTCTTCCATGAGACGGGTTCGTCTGCTTGCCTCATGTGGAGTTCGCCACCTACATCTAAGCCAGGTAAACAAAAACCACCAAACAAGCAAAAAGAAAAAAAAAAAATTTCGGTGACGAGACTTTCCATTTGGAAAACCCTTTTCACGTGAATCACTTTATAGCCAAATACCACATCTTACTATTCAATACAGGATTGTGTAAAAGAAAGTCAAATAACTAACAGCACACACAAAATGAGCCAAGGCTTAAGGAAAAAGAAGAAACCAAACTATTTCCACTGAGCTGAGCACGACTCACCGAAAAGTGAAGATCTGACTTTATCTCTCTGCCTCTGCCATGGTACAGCAAGTCTAATTCATGTGAAACTATACCAGAGTATTTCTTCTTTAAATATTCTGAAAAACTGGAGCAAGGGACTGAAAAAACTGTTACACTTCTACCTGGTTTTGATAAGGGTTCTCACAAAAATCATTCCAAGAAGAGTTCGGTCTTCTTTTCACCTCCTTTAAGAAACATGTTGAAAAAAATACTTAAATGTCCCCAGATGCACAGAGTTGGAGGGTTAAAAAAAAAAGCCCTAAGGGAAAGCCTAAATTTCTCCTTCTGAAATCCAAACTGATGTAGGTCAATTTAGTATACTTAAACTCATCGGAAGAAAAGAAATGTTCTCTTCTAGAACAGCTGAAATGAATGACTGTAGAACCCACGTTTCCTTTTGCACAGTGGCCACACGCCCTGGCTTTTCAATGCATGTTAAAGACTGAGCATATGATAGACCCCTCCCATGTTGCTCAAACATTACAACCATTTCTCCGGCACTATAAAAGAAACAGTTGTTGGATAAAAGGGGGAAAAAATCACCAAGGGACAGTGTAGACTGCAGTGTAATTTTTTATGGCATTTACAGTCAACACCTCCTCAAAGGAACCTTCATCCTCTCACGTAAATGGGTCTTTGCTCTTAGGAGGTCGGAAAAAAACAGCCAGAAACCATACATGCCAAATGCCGGCCATCCCACTTGCCCTCCAGACAGTCTCACATCCTGTCTTCCTGAAATCACTCTTTATAACTTTATTTTATTTTATTTTTTGCTTTTAAAAAGCTAGGGTACAATTCAGAATTAGGCATCCAAGAGGTCATCATACCAGTAAAGTTTGAGCCTCCCTTTGGTTCCCACATCGCCTGGTTTGAGATCGCGTCTCTCCTTATTGATGTTGATTGGTGAGGGGGGCTGGATTATAAAGTTATTGTGTCCCCCCTCCGTCCCACAACTTTATAATCCAGCTCCCCTCACCAATCAAGAGAATCCTATGTCTTAAATGCAGGTCTCTCCTCTTGTAGGTTAATTTATTCATGACAGAAAAACATTCCTGCCTTTCAGCTAAATGGGAAGATGTCAGCTCTCTCTCCTCCCACTGGCACCAAAGAACAGCAGAGTTGTCAAGATCTAAAGAGTTGTCGTTTTCCATCAGAAGGAAAGAAGTGACTCAACGCGCAGTATAAAAGCTCCCGCCGACCGTAAACCCATCAGCCTAAGCAGCTGCCTTGAGACGCGACCGTGATCCAGCACGTCTGAAACCCAGTTCAGACAGGGCTTTTCTCATCACAAGTTGCTGTGTAAGACTTTGCTGGGGAACGTACTGTCATATCAGATACCGTAGGTAATAGGTTGCCTTTATAATTCAGCAGAGCTGGATCGCACCATGTCTGTTTTGATTGTGTCAGGCTGGATTTAATGAAAGCTCTGATGAACTTGGTAACTTGAAAATGAGATCAAAGCCGGGCATGGTGGCTCACGCCTATAAACCCAGTGATTTGGGAGGCTGGGGTGAGAGGACTGCCTGAGCCCATGGGTTCAAGATCAGCCTGGGCAACTTGGCGAGACCTCATCTCTACAATAAATCAAGAAAAATTAGCTGGGTGTGGTGGCACGCACCTGTAGTTCCAGCTACTTGGAAGGCTGAGGCGGAAGGAGTACCTGAGCCCAGCATGCCACTGCAGTCTAGCCTGGGTGACAGAGTGAGACTCTGACTCAAAAGACAAACAAACAAACAAAAGAAAATGAGAGCAAACACTTGCAGAAGGAACTCTCCTTATTCTGGGATCTGGAGCAAGTTTCTGGCTTACTTAGTAGCAGGGGAGATTTTGATGGGATTTAAGATTTGTTTTTTGGACTTCTCATATGTCTGTGTCCATGAACTGTACCTAGACTGTGTTGAATTCTGCAGAAAAGTGTTACAACATGAAACTGAAAGGATTTCTCTTTATGAACGCTTGCCCAATTTTTCTGTATCTACTACTACAATGACCTTACAAGATAATGCTTTACTGTTGCTGGTGATCTCCTCCTTAAAGTAGAAAAATAGGAAGTATTAGACAGAAAAAAAAAACTTTTTTTTTTTTTTTGCTAGGCTGTGAGTAAAGTTCACTTAATTGGGAAAGATGGGAATGATGAAATGCAGTACCATCTTTCATTGGCAAGCCACTTGTTCCAAATAAACTCTCCTGATCTACGATTTTTTCTTTCACTTGTGTGATTTGGCAAGATGTGATTAGACCTTAAATGACTTCTACTGAATCTAGAATTCCTCAGCTGTTGTCAACCCTGAGTAGTGTCACAATCTCTCAGCATCTCCACTCAGTACCGATATGCACTTACCAGAGGGAGATACCGCTGACCATACAAATTACTTAATCTTCCTCACTTTTCCCTCTGAATAGGTCAGGTGTCTTCTTTAAAGGAGGGTTTAGATATACTCTAGATGCCAAAAAGTGGTGTACTCATTAAGAAAGGCACCATCTCGCAAATGTTACATTTAAATGATAATTAAGAAGTCAACCAGTAAAGTCTACTCTATTTGAAACCCAGAGATGAATATTAAAGCCCTCTCAAGCACTCCAAACAGCTATTCCACATAGAATTATCTTGAGAAAGAGATCTTTTTCACATCGATGCAGTTCCCGCTCTCAATTTCAGAGGTCAAGAAACTTGAGGCAAAGGGAAAATGTCACCTTTCCAATTAGCTTATTTCCAAATAAAAGAAGACAGTTGCTCAACGCATCCACCTAGAGCTCACTGCCATTTCACTTAACCCAAACCAGACGTACGTATTGTTTCCTTTTCTCTTTTGTGACTGTCGATGGCCAGAATGGAGAGCATTTGCATTGGACACAAAGCCATAACGATATCACACACGGAAGAAGAGCTGTTAATGAACACAGTGTAACCACGATAAGGGACATCGTCTTCCAAGTTTTTCCCCTTCTGATCAAATAATCTACTGGTCCTGAAACACAGTCAGGTTTTACTCCGAGTGTTTAACATAACAAAGTGTTAGTTCAGCAAGCCTCTTTTTCACCTTTGGACCTTGAAGGCTTAAGGTAACTCCGCAGGGCAAAAGCACCAATAAACCTGTCCGTAGCCCACGGAACCTCGGAACCTTGGAACCAGTGCCTCTCAGTCTGTTGCCGTTTCTCTGGGTTGTGCTGAAAAGAGCAGTGATGGGGCAGGCAAAGTAGCACCAAAGCCCTCACTCTCCAGCACTGGACACACTTACTTTGCTTTCAACGTCTCCTCCTGGAAATTCCAGTGGGGATCTTCCACCAGCTGCAATTCTCTCAAGACCCTCCCGGGCTTGTAGGCTGCGTTGATAATCATGCTGAGAACCTGTTGGGGGAAAAACAGGCACCCATGAACTTCGAGAGCATGTGTTCCTGCTAGAGGGCAGGTGCCTCACCAGCCTCACAGCGGACACTTAAGTAGCAGGTGCCGCACACCCACACCAAAGGAGGGACTGGGACGGGCCCTTCCCAGGCGAACGCGGCGTGGACTCCCCGTCCAGGGACAGGTGGGTGGCCAACCCAAGGCGCCTCTAGACCCCTAGAGGGGGTGGCACTCTCACGGACTTTTCTGGTTGCAGGAACTGAACACTTTTCACCAAGAAGCAATTTATTATTTTTCAGCAGGATTCCTCTTCCGTTGGACAGGCTACTGGGAATTTTGGTCTCATTTTAGACATTTCATAAGGAACCAACGAAACGGAGATCACATATCAATGCCAACACTTCTGCAGAGACTTCAGATACCAGCAAGGAGGTAACGAATTATGGGACTCTCACCTCATGCAGCCTCAATTTATGGATATTTAATACGAAGACAACACTCTCAGAGACGTATTTTAGAAGGCAATCTGGAACATCTAACACCATCCATGATCATACTTCCTCAGTCTACCCCCCTACTCCCAAATCCCAAGTCCAAGAATATAGGCATCATTGTCTACTGTGGGGCTCCCAGAAAGACAAGGCGTCTCTGTCCTGAGCATCCCAACTTCTGGCTCTGGGGAGGTGAGATGCTCTCATGAATCTCAATGCACTTCTTTCATTGAGATGGAAGGAACTCAGACCCGTGGAGTAAACACTTTCCAAAAAGCAAATCATCACGAACTTAATGAACACTTCTGAGTTCTAGCATTCTAGCACATTCCTTGGCCACTGCTCTTTGGAGAATGTGGAAGGTGCAAAGCAGAGTTTTACAGTTCTGGGTTCCATGAAATGACCATCCACCAAGGACTCAGATAGGAAGAGCACCCAGTGCCTGTCCCTCCTGAAGTCTGCCCAGTCCAGATATGCATGAAGGAAAACACCAGGCATGGGGCTCACGTTTAAACACCAACGAGAGTGAGGAGCACAGCTTACTGGCATTACTGCCTAGACATTGACAATCTTTTTTTTTTGTTTTTTGAGTTGGAGTCTCACTCTGTCACCCAGGCTGGAGTACAGTGGCATACTTGTGGTCACCCCAGCGTCAACTTGCTGGGCTCTGGCAATCCTTCCACCTCAGCCTTCCAAGTAGCTGGAACTATAGGTGTGCACTACCACGTCTGGCTAAAGTTTTTGATTTATTGTAGAGACAAGGTCTCCCATGTTGCCTAGGCTAGTCTCAAACCACGGGCTCAGGCAATCCTCTCGCCTCAGCCTCCCAAACTGCTGGGATGACAGGCTTGAGCCACCGCGCCCGGCCTCGACGATCTTTTGATGGAGACCAGGATAACATAAATGGAAGGAAGGAGATGGAGAAACTCACTGGACTTTGCATGTAGCAGTTTTCACGGGTCTCACGTGTTCTGAACTGTAACCAGCCTGGTTTGTAACCTGTGTGACTTCTGCAAACAACCAAGCTTTCTCATGTTGCGACTAAGGATTTGATCTAAAATATTTCAGCCACGTGCAGTGGCTCACACCTGTAATTTCAGCACCTTGGGAGGCTGCGGCAGCAGGATAACCTTGAGGCTAGGAGTTCAAGGCCAGCCTGGGCAACACAGCACAGCCTCGTCTCTACAAAAGAGTAGTGTGATGTGATGTCAAGCACCTGGAGTCCCGGCTACTCGAGAGGCTGAGGTGGGAGGATCGCCCGAGCCCAGGAGTTCGAGGCTGCAGTGAACTGTGATCGTGCCACTGCACTCCAGCCCGGGCAACAAAGCAAGATACTGTCTCTAAAACAAAATAGATATCCTGCTACACAGTCAGCATGGCCACTGTCTTTTCTTTGCCTTGGTGGCATTTTGTTATGTTCCAAGGCCCCATAACAGGCCATCAAGAGATGGTGGCTTAGCCAAGGAACTAGAAAGCCAGGACAAGGCAGTACACATGGCGTTGGTATGTTTGTGTTTTCTGTATTAGAACAATCATCTGATTTTATTGTTTGCTGTCAGAATGATTTACAGGAACTGAGTTTAAAAATAAATCTAATTAGAACTGACTGCAGTAACACTCACAGTGTTTATCAACAGACAATAAAATTTCAACAGATTCTTTTCATCGTGTTTAGCAGAGAAAACCCCAGAGTTACACATTATTTGCTGCATATCGAGATGTATTTTGTGACTGTGAAAAGAAAATGCCTTCTGGAGCTCCATTCAGCCTGGGAACAGGCAGCGATTAAATTATAAAAAGCATCTGATATTGAATATTTTTCCCTTGGCTTTTCTCGAGGACACGTCATTCGTCTCCAAATTCAACAAGCTCTCGATAAAACCGTGGAATTGTGAGCTGGATAATTTCTGTGTACATGACATCTTAGTGTATCATAGTCACCCCATGAAAATAACCAAGGAGACAGATACTATGAGTCAGGCTGAATGAATCCCTGTAACTTGTAAAACACTGGAATTCAACTCATTATGCTCTTGATCAGAGAGGGTAGCATGGACCCCTTTCCCCAGTCAACTAACAGGACCTTGGGTGTGAGGTCAATGAACGATATTCCCAATGAACTGGTGTGAAGGGTTTTGGCTAAGTCAAGGAGGAAATTCAAGTTAGAGAACAATGCCTCACTGGATTTCTTGGGAGCTCGCAAAATGCTTGCTGAGAACATACTTCTACATGCAAGTTCTCCATGGTGTATTCTGCTGAGAAGCAGTAACTTTATAGCTGGGTAGAACTGGCACCAAATCCCAGTTCTATCACATCTTGTCCCTGGGCAAGACGCTTCACTGACTTTCCTTGGCTGTGTGCAGGGGCACTGCCATTTATCTCGGTCAGAGGAATGACATGAGAAATAAATGAGGTAACACCATGGCATACAAGAAACACTGAAAGCTGGCCTTCTCCTTGATATCAATGTAGCCCTCATCACCGCATAAAACACTCTTCAGTCCCATTGAGGAAAGGTTGGAAATACAGGTTAGGCATAGATAGATACATTTCTTTTAGGCAGGTTTTAGGAAGCACCCAGACATTCTTCTTATTACATTTTTATTGCAGGCCAGGTTGTAACGTGGATGTGCCCAGTCTACCTCACCCCTTGGCCAACCAAAATCAAATCCCATTAGAGGTAAGAATAGGACGGCCCAACCTTTCAGTTCATGGTTTAGCATAATAATCACTAAAAATCTTTCAGTTCCCTGTTGAAGGTGGAAGGCTGACTATACCGCCCCTTAACTAACCAAAGCCACAGAAATGATAATGAGACCCCCTCTTAGCCCTTGAGCTTGTGTGTTCAAAAGCCTAGCAAGTCTCCTACAAAGACAGAATATGTATTCCAGAAAAACACCACCCCTCCTCCCATCAGAGGCAGAGAAATCTCTCTGCAGTGGCTGCCCGTGTCCACCCACTTCAGCAGATCCATTATCACGAAAATATATCCAGCTTTTTAGTTAAGAGCAGATGTCTGAGTCTTTTTTCTCAGAGACTCGTCCATGTCAGGTCTTTCTGGCATGACTCTTTCACCTTCCCTCTCTTACCTCTCTCTTCATCCCACAAATAACCTCTGTTTTAAGACTTTGCTGGCCACTCTGAAAATCATTTCAGGGTCAAGTCAAAGAACCGATGAGTCTGTGCTGTGCTCCACTGGCCATCACTTCACCCTCTCTACCCCACTGGCCTGCGTTTACATCCGAGTCCTGCATCTTTGGAAAGTAACTCTCCACACAAGCTCCTTGACTTTCAGTTAATGCCTTTTCATCAGAACCAAACTTTTTTTTTTAATAGTGTATGCTTTGTTTGTTTGTTTTGTTTTTTTTTGAGTTGGAGTCTCACTCTGTCACCCAGACTGGAGTACAGTGGCCGCTCCCGGCCACCGCAGCCTCCACCTGCTGGGCTCTGGCGATCCTTCCGCCTCAGCCTTCCAAGGAGCCGGAACTACAGGCGTGCGCTACCACGCCCGGCTGATTTTTGGATTTATTGTAGAGATGAGGTCTCACTGCCCAGGCGGGTCTCGAACCCGCGGGCTCAGGCAATCCGCTCACCTCAGCCTCCCAAAGGCGCGGGATGACAGGCTGAGCCACCGAGCACGGCATGTATACTTTTTAAATTCTTCATTTTCACTTCGGTTGTCAATCGACCCAAGTCCTGGTCCAACCAACCACTACCCGAAAACGCTTTGGGAAAGGGCCCCAGTGACCTAATTCTCCAATTCTATTCATACCCACCCTTCTCTCCTGGGACCCCTTTCCTGCCTCTGCCGCAGCCGGCACCGAAACGCGTTCAGAAAGTGCCGGGTGGATCAGGGTACCGGGTAGAGGGGAGGGGGGGCAAGAGAGAGGAAGGGACAGTAAGGAGAGTTGAGCTTGGGCCCTGTAACAGGTCATCCAGTGGTGAAAGGAGCAAAACTCCCCAGGGCTGGGCACCCCCAATGAGAGTCCCCTTTCCCCCTGTCCCTCCCTTTCCCACACAATTTCACCACTCAGTAGATTATCCAGATCAACAGGACTTTCTTTTTCTGTTCACCTTGTGAAATTATGCTAACCCCCTGATCTCCTTTCGCATTTCCTATTATAAAAACCATCTCAACAAAGACCCACATTCAGCTATTTCCAACCTCAACTACCACGTATCACACGATTACAGTCACAACAACGTTGGAACCACAGGGACCCACCGGCTAGAAGAGCAAGTTCCTAGAGCATCCCAGTTAGAAGAACACTTCAGGACACAACCATGGTTTCTACAGCCCTGGCCAGACTGAAGGAGGAAGTCAGACTCTCCATCTCGGAGGCTGGTCATCTGTGGGATTCTCATGACCACGAAAAGAGGTGGCTTTGGGGTAGATTGTTTGTTTTTTGCATTAGGGTCTGACTTTGTCCCCCAGGCTGGGGTGCAGGGGCACAATCACGGCTCACAATCACAGCCTCAAGCTCCTGGGCCCAGGCGATCCTTCTGCCTCAG